AATAAAATTGGCCCATAGGGGCGTCTGGCTGGCTCAGTCAGCAGAGTGTGTGACTCCTGATCTCAGGATTATGAGTTTGAGCCCCACATTGGATGTAGAGATTATTTAAAAATAAAATCTTTGGGGCGCCTGTGTGGCTCATTGTTAAGCGTCTGCCTTCGGCTCAGGTCATGATCCCAGGGTCCTGGGATCGAGACCCACATCGGGCTCCCTGCTCGGCGGGAAGCCTGCTTCTCCATCTCCCACTCCCCTGCTTGTGTTCCTTCTCTCGCTGTCTCTCTCTGTCAAATAAATAAAAACAATCTTTAAAAAATAATAATAAAAATAAAATCTTTATCAAAAAAATAAAATTGGCATGTAGTCATCTTTTGGAGACTGATGGACGGACATTGGCAAAGTCCCCAGAGAAGACAGGGCTAAAACCCCACCGCATCTGTGTTCGTTGTGCGACATGCACACGTGCCCATGGGGCTGGCTGAGCGTCCCGGAGGGTGTATGGGAGTGTGTCGGGTACTTGAGCGCCAGCACGGTCTGCGGGGTCAGCATCTTTCCAGTGCAAACGTGCTCTCTGAGCACCTCGCAGGATGAGACCCGTGAGGGGTGCTGCGGCCACAGAGAAGAATCCCACAAGGTGCCTGTTCCCGGGGTAGTTGGGGACAAATAAGGGATCAGATGAATTCTCCGTGTGATGAGGACAACCGAGCAGGTTCAAAGCCTGGACTGAAGGAGGCAGGTGTCAGGGAGGGTTGGGAGAAGCTTCACAGGCTGGCCACGGTGAAACCAAGCAGTCATCTCTGATAGGTCCCCCAGATCTCAAGCCCCAATCTACCACATAGAGAATAAAGATTAGAACAGTGTTCCAGCTTTTCTTTCTCACACCTGGTAAGCTCCTGGGGTTACACCAGCCTCTTGCTTTGGGTTCCCAGCATGTAAAGCAAAACAGGAAAGCAAGAACCTCCCGGAACTTCTCAAAGTCCTTGGTTCCAGGATGAGTTTTGCTGTTGATTGTACTTTGAGCCCACTAGTGACCCTATGATTTGGCCACCATCATTGTGCAAAACTGTCAACTCCATGGAACTTAATAGAGTAACGACGAGGGAATTGAAAGTAATTTTACTAGCTGAATCTAGTTTTTTAATATGTGTGCTGTGTATTTCTGTGTGTCTGCATCTATGTGGGCATTACACATGTGTGCTGTGCACGTGTGTGCCACGTGCTGTGTGTCCATGTGTGAGTACTTGCAGCTGCTGTTCTTCTTAGGGTCATGGGTTCCCAGGTGTGGAGAGGTGGAGGGGACGCTGAAGCTTTGGGGGGCGATTCGCTCCCCTTCTCTAGGCCTCGGTTTCCTCTCCTCTATAAAGGGATTACTTGAATTCCATGATTTTGAAGGATTCTTGTAGCTCTGACCATCCTTAACTTTGTCATTCACCATATGGTTTAAGGAGTTCATCTGAAGAAGATCAAAATAAGAGTCAAAGGCTCAAAGCTGCTGCGGCAGGGATTGAAATTAGACATGAGAAGATTAAGGTCCGAGACCAGTCCACACTGGCCTCAGGAAAGCCAATGGAGCTCCTGATTTGAAGCAACCGTTGTTAGAATGCAAGGCCATGGGCGCCTGGGTGGCTCAGTCAGTTAAGCGTCTGCCTTCAGCTCAGGTCATGAGCCCAGGGTCCTGAGATCAAGCCCCGTCTCAGGTTCCCTGCTTCTCCCTCTCTCTTTGCTGCTCCCCCTGCTTGTGCTCTCTCTCTCTCAAATAAATAAATAAATAAAATTTAGAGTGCAAGGCCAGGTCCAAGGACCTGGATTGTGTCCCCGACCCCCATACTGGCCAGGGAAGGGGCAGAGTCTCCACTGGACTTCCAGAAGGGTTCTAAGGAGGCAAAGGGATGGAAGGGCTGCCATCCAGGAGACAGCTCTGGGCGGGAAGTGTCCTCAGGCCCTCGTGGCCCCTGCAGGCTCCCGATAAGCAGAGGGCCTCCACCCTGATAGCCCCAAGTCCACTTATCAGGGTCCCCAGACTACCCCACCCAGGTTCAGACTCTGCTCCAGCCCACACCCTGATGACAGCACCCTCCACCCCAGCCAGGCCAAAGCCACAGGATCTCTGGCTGGCTGAGATATCTCTCTCTTCCACCTTCAGGACCCCTGGTTTCTGCCCATGTTCATCTTTGGTCTTAGGACTAAGCAGGGACTAGGCAGAAGCCTAGGCAATGAGTGGCGTAAATCTTGGTCTCGGTGCATGAAGCCTTTACTCTGGTGAAGGAGCCTGACCTGTCTGTGGGGTCTCTGAGTAGAGGTGGCATGGCAGGAGGGGTCACAGGACAGGAAAGGGGGCAAGGAGCAGACACATGATAATTTCTCACCTGGCTAGAGTGCCTGGGTTTGTAAATGTTTCTCAGCCATATTTCTCGTTTCTTACAACATGGTGAACTATGTGTTACCACCAAAGCTCAGAGAAGTGGCACTTTGCCTCTAGTCAAACAGCTAGTGAGTGAGACAGAGGAAAGAAGGGAAGGACATCAACATTGGTTCCACAGGTACTAAGTCTGACCTGGGAGTCTGAGATGAGCACGCACATGACCCTGGTCACCCCCATAGGAGCTAGGGATGGATTGCTCCCATTGTACATACAAGAAAACTGAAGCTGAGAGCACTCCATCTAAGGTTAAGGTCACAGAGCTGGATGTGGGGGCCTGTGGGGACTGTCACTCGGGACCCGTGCTTCCTTCCTCCCTCCCTCCATCCCTGCCTCCCTTTTTCTTTCTTTCTTCCTTTCTTTCTAAGATCTTATTTATTTTTTTTAAAGATTATTTATTTGACAAAGAGAGATAGCGAGAGAAGGAACACAAGCAGGGGGAGAGGGAGAGGGAGAAGCAGGCCCCCCGCAGAGCAGGGAGCCTGATGCGGGACTCGATCCCAGGACCCTGGGATCATGATCTGAGCCAAAGGCAGACGTTTAACCAACTATGCCACACACGTGCCCTCTTAAGATTTTAAGTAATTTTTTTTAAGATATTATTTTTTATTTGTGAGAGAGAGAGAGCACAAGCAGGGGGAGCTGCAGGCAGAGGGAGAGGGAGATGCAGGCTCCCAGATGAGAAGGGAGCCTGATATGGGACTCTGATCCCAGGACCCTGAGATCATGACCTGGGCCGAAAGGCAGATGCTTAACTGACTGAGCCACCCAGGCGCCCCTATTTTTAAGTAATCTTTACACTCAACGTGGGGCTTGAACTTACAATCCCGAGGTCAAGAGTCACATGCCTCACTGACTGAGCCAGCCTGGTGCCCCAGGGCCTGTTATTTCTAAACCTGGGCTCTCTCAATGGCCTTGAGCGGCTTTCAAGAATATTCCATGAAGGGCATTTGGCTAAGTGCTTTGCCAGTAGCTAGGCACCTAGCTCACAGTTCTGAATTGGGGACTGTTGTTACTGCTGTCTACAAGGAGAACGGGAAGGGTCTGAGAGAAAAAGACTTGCCTAAGAGCTACAGTTTTATTTGCTTGCCTCCCCAGGCCAAAGTTTTTCTCCTCCATCACATTGAGTTTAGCTCCATGTCAGATATTTTTGATATGATTGGCCAATAACCAGGCCCCCGTGATTATTTGCCTAAATGATTAATCACACAAATAAATGAGCCCATAACAGGTAGATTTAACTAGTCTGCAGAGGTGTTACTTACATATGAAGAGGGAATAGGAGTTAACTAGATAACAAAGGAGGTTAGATTGTGCCAGAGGGAAGAGCAGGGCGCCTGGTTGCCTCAGTCGGGGGTCATGGGGTCGAGCCCTGCTTTGGGGTCTGCACTCAGCTGGGAGTATGCTTAAGATTCTCTCCCTCGGGAGCCTGGGTGGCTCAGTTGGTTAGGCGACTGCCTTCGGCTCAGGTCATGATCCTGGAGTCCCGGGATGGAGTCCCGCAACAGGCTCCCTGCTCAGCAGGGAGTCTACTTCTCCCTCGGACCCTCCCCCCTCTCAGGTGCTGTCTCTCTTACAAAATCTTAGAAAAAAAAAAAGATTCTCTCCCTCTCCCTCAGCTCCTCCTACCCTGCATCCCCCCCACCCCGGACCTCAAAGGCACACAATCTCTCTCTCTCTCTTAGATGAATAAATAAAAAACGAGGAGTGCCTCAGTGGCTCAGTTGGTTAAGCGTCCGCCTTGGGCTCAGGTCATGATCCTGGAGTCCCGGGATCAAGTCCCGCATCGGGCTCCCGGCTCATCAGGGAGTCTGCTTCTTCCTCTGACCCTCTTCCCTCTCATGCTCTTTCTCACTCTCTCTCTCAAATAAATAAAATCTTAAAAAAATAAAATAAACAGAGCTCCCTCCCCCATTCTGAGAAGTCTCCACACCAGGAATCTTGCCTAGCCCAGAGGCAGAGAACTGAATACTGCAAGGCTCACACTGTAAGTGGCTTGAGCTCTGAACAGGCCCCTACCCATTCTTATGCTGGCTCTCAGAAGAGCCTGAATTCCCCTGCCCTCAAATGACTCGCCAAGGACCCCGTCCCCCCAGGGGAACTTGCCATAGCAGAGGTAGCCTAGGTCTACCCTCCTTGGGCTCAGCATAAACACAGGCAGGGGCCCAGGAACTGAAATTTAAGCCTGAGCTTGCCCCAGGAATCCAGCTGTCAGGACCCTTCCTGCCTTACAGAGTTTCAACTAACAGTTCACCGCCACCACTGCCACCACCATGACTGCCACCACCAGCTGGGCTACAGCCAACAATTAAACCCTGAAGGATGGGGTGAGGCTGTTCCTCCTCCTCCCAGGCCCAGCAGAGAGATGATCAGCTTCACGGGGAAAGGAGTGAAAGACCCTAGTCTTAGCAAGGGCCATAACATTTATGGGAGAAAGGGCCTAGGAGAGAGAGGGGCCAGTGACCCTTGTTCCAAGGAGTCCAACAGGGAAAGGGTTAAGAGGCGGGGCTTTCTAGAACCAGGGGAAAGTGCCCCACCCAGGGGAGGGGCCAGTGGATTAAAAGGCCAGCAGCTTGCGTGGAGAGGCAGGGTCAGGGCCTCCTTACCTCTGAAGGCCTCCCCAGTCTGCAGTTCCAGCCGGAGGTAAGTACCCTCTCCTGGGCCTGTCTGTCTGCTTTTTGGTCTGACCAGAGGGAACCTTCTGCCTCACTGTGTGATCTCTAGCTTGTTTAATTCTGACACTGGGTCCCCAAGGAGATCTCAACAGACCCTAGCTCTGCAGGGTTCTCCAGGCCAGGCCCCTTCCCTACCTGACTCGGGCTGCCCTTGACCACAACCATCAAGGAGCTGCTGGCTCAGGAGCTATGGAGTGGGGAGTGGGGAGCTCTGTGTGTCCCGCACTGACCTGTCCTGCTCTGTCCCAGCCCCTGGCCCTCCCTGCCACAGCGCTCTCCAAGCTATGGAGTGGGGAGTGGGGAGCTCTGTGTCCCGCACTGACCTGTCCTGCTCTGTCCCAGTCCCTGGCCCTCCCTGCCACAGCGCTCCCTGTGCCTGCTGCAGGGCCCTGGCTGGGATATCATCATATACTGTAAGTTTGCGATGAGATACTACAGTATAGATGATGTACTAGTCCGGGTCCCCACAGCTCTGGAGCCAGATGAGGGCAGGGGATGCTGCAAACCCGCCGGGCTCGCCGCTCAGCCTATCACAGCCTGCTGACCGCCGGGACACTTGGGGATGGCGAGGAAACCGTTACCATTACTGAGTTTAGTAATGGTAACGGTTCTCTTGCTGTACCCAGAATACGTGCCAAGAAGAGAGCTCAGGACCCTGGAGCCGACCACTGGAAGGGAGGGAGACTCCAGCTCAGACAATAGGGTCGGGGTGAGGGAATGGGTTTTCTCTTTCTGATTATAAGAAACAAAGATGAGGGCGCCTGGGTGGCTCAGTCGGTTAAGCGTCTGCCTTTGGCTCAGGTCATGATGCCAGGGTCCTGGGATCGAGCCCCGCGTCAGGCTGCCTGCTCAGTGGGGAGTCTGCTTCTCCCTCTGCCCCTCCTCCCACTCGTTCTCTCTCTCTCTCTCTCTCTCAAATAAATAAATAAAATCTTTAAAAAAAAAAAAAAGAAATAAAGATGAGAACCAGTATGCTTGTTTTTTAATTTTATTATCATCCAAGACTGGGGAGACCGATGGAGTGAGCGGCACTATCTCACTTAGGACCCACAGGTTCTTATGCATGGCTTTAAGGTAGAGGAACTGAGTGGATAGGAAAAAGCCCTCTCTGCTAAAACTGGCAACTCAGGGAGGAACTCTGGGTTCGCTGCCAGCCAGAAGTGGGGTGGCATTGTTCCTACCAAAGAGCCAACTTCTAGACCTAAGCAGCTGGGACCCCAGGCAGAGGAATGAGCTGGGAACTGAGCTAAGATAAGTTCCTTCCTCCAACAGACGTGGTCAGGCAGGGGCTAGGCAGACTCAGTAAGGCCAAGCCAGCTGTCAGTCAGTCAGCCAGGCAGGCAGTGCCCACGCCTCTCACCAGTCCCTGTCCTTGGGCAGGGGCCGTCCTGGTCAGTGGGCCTGCCAGCAGCTCTGGCTGAGACACCCTAGGCGAGGCAGCAGAGGGTGGTCACTTGAGAAGCCTCACAGAGAGGCGGAGCCGAACGTCGCAGAGGAAGATGTCCATGAGGTGGCGGCCCACCTCCTGTGCAATCTGGGAGATCAAGTGCCCCTTTGGACCAATCAGGATCCTCTGAGGGTGGGGTGAGAGAGAGAGAGAGAGAGAGAGAGAGAGAGAGAGAGAGAGAGAGAGAGACACAAGCCTGCTCTCAGGGCTCCCAAGCAGCGGAGGAAGAACCCCTGCCTAATGCCCTGGTTCTTTCTCCAAGCCTAACCCGGCTTACCACATGAGATTCTTTGGGCACCAGAAGCTTCTGTTCGATCACCAGCTCCCCGCTTGGCCCTTCCTCCCACATCACTGTCCTCTGCACAGGGAGACATCATGATTAGTCAGACAGACCCATATCCCTACGTCTCCGGGCCCCAGGTGTCCTGTCTTGGGTGTGTGCATGGTGAAGAGCCCCCAGATTCCTTCATTGTGCCTGCACCTGCTGCACACTATAGGGCATCTCCTGGGGCAGGTGTTCTAGGAGCTTCTCTCGGATGACGTTGGCACAGATCTCCTCAGGCGTCTGGCTAGTGAGGACTCCACTGTGGAATTCCCAGGGTCCTGGCCGGGCCTGTGCCAGGAGGTAATGCTGTGGGTACAGAGCGGGGTAGATGGGCAGCTCAGTCCCAACCAAGACTTACCTACTCATTCTCACTACCAGGAGGGACTCTGAGGCTTGTCTTCACATGGCAGAAATCAGAGGCCAGGCTATGGCCAAGGCTAACTGACCTTTAGTGTTTTCACATCCTCCTGGCTTAGGGCTGACAACATGAAGATCTCCTGGAAGTGGGGCCAGCCAATCCTCTGAGGGCCTCCCACAGACCCTGTTTTTGGGCCCTTAGCTGCTGGGCTAGGGCAAGGAGTGCCAGGCTGTGAGCGAAGGGCCTGCCGCATCTTGAGCTTCTTGCCATTGACCACACCTTCAGTAAGGGCTGCTGTGAGCTCCAGGAGAACAGACTTCTGCTTCAGGCAATCTACCTGGGCATGGAGGACGGGCAGAGGGTGTGTGGTCAGTGAGATGGGCACCATGGAGGAAAGTAGACCCCTTCTTCAGGTAGGTGGTGCTCACCTTGTTCATGACAAGGATGCTAGGGACTTGGGAGAACTGGGTCAGGCACTGGAGCACCTGGGGCCTGAGCTGGTTCCGAGTCCACTTGTCTGAGACATCCACAAGGACCACAACTAGAAGGTGACAGGGTAGGCAGCAGGACAAATATATGACCACTCTCTCCCCACCCCACCCCCAAAATGTCCATGATATGGGCTCTGGGCCAACCCCCATCCCCCAAACTACCAGGAACAAGAGGTCATGACCATGTAAATTGGGCTTCAGATTCCCATTATGAGTCTAACCCAAATCAGCAGATTCCATGCTCTTCCATGGATCTTCCAACAAAGAAAGCTCCAGATGGTGCCTGAGGGACAAACTTAGGTCAGGAAGGGTCTTATGACTGGTATACTCCTAATGAGGGATAGGGTATGATAAGGGGGTTTTCCAGCCCCTATGATGGAACCTCCTCACCTTCTCCTCAACACCTTTTCCTCTACAAACCTGTTTCCACAACTATTACCTTTTCTGTTTAACAGGGCTGATGAGGCCAGGTGTGTCAAGTAGAATCTAAAATCAGGAAAGAGAGATGCCCACCCCCCCAGATGGAACGATTATAACTGGTGAGTGAGAGAAAGGCCACCATTGATGTCAGAAGCCTGCACCCACTCTAGGCCAGGATGACTTTAGATTTTTACCCTCCAGCTGTTTTAATTCTAGATAGGATCCAAGAAAAAAATGATGACTGTAAATACATGGAAGATTAGGAAGGATTAAAGAGGGAAGGAGATCTTTCTGACTAGATGCCAGAGGGGGGAAGTAGAGAGAACTGCACTAGGCCTAACGAAAGAGGAGACCCCCTTCCCTCAGAAAAGTGAATTTAACATTTTCTTCAGGTCTAACTGTAAGGGAGACCCTCTTAAGTTCACCCGCTGTCCAGTTTCCTGGACTTCCTTTGCAGGTACCCACCACCTGGGCCTCTTTCTCTGTGATGACCCCCAGAGCTTGGCAGCGAGTGGTGTGCACCTTCTTGGAGACAGGGAAAACCTGCCAAAAACAAAGAAGTCCCAACTGAGATCCCAGATCACTGCAGGACAATTCATGAAGAAAGAGAAAAAAGTAAGAGATAAGGGAGGCGGGGGGAGTGTCAAGGATGCAGCATACTTTCCGACCCAGCAGCTGGTTGGAGAGTGTTGACTTCCCTGCATTCGGGGCACCCAGGAGGACCACTCGTAGGACCCTGGAGTTCTCAGGCATGTCGGGACGATGGACCAAGAGGAGATCCTGCTCATCTGTGTGTGGGGGCAGGAGGGGAGTGAGAGGTAGTGCAATCTGGATCCCTTGTCAGGTACTCAGTCCTACCCGCCCACAAAGGAAGTAGGGAATACAAGATTAGTGGACCAGGTTGAAGCTGAGACCTGGCTTTGAGACTTAGCTTGTCCATTAATTTGTTTATATGATTGTATCAAATTCTCTAACTTCTCTAAGCTCCTCAGTTTTCTCACATGTAAAATGAAGATAGTATTGGCGCCTGGGTGGCTCAGTTGGTTAAGCGACTGCCTTCGGCTCAGGTCGTGGTCCTGGAGTCCCAGGATCGAGTCCCGCATCAGGCTCCCTGCTCGGTGAGGAGCCTGCTTCTCCCTCTGACCCTCTTCCCCTCTCATGTACTCTCTCTCCCATTCTCGCTCTCTCAAATAAATAAATCTTAAAAAAAAAAATAAAAAATAAATAAAATGGAGATAGTATTAACAATACCTACTTAAAACCTTCTTTTGACGGGGCACCTGGGTGGCTCAGTTGGTTAAGCGACTGCCTTCGGCTCGAGTCATGATCCTGGAGTCCTGGGATCAAGTCCCACATCGGGCTCCCTGCTCAGCAGGGAGTCGGCTTCTCCCTCTGACCCTCCCCCCTCATGTGCTCTCTCTCTCTCTCTCTCTTTCAAATAAATAAATAAATAAATCTTAAAAAAAAAAACCTTCTTTTGACAATTGGCAATTTTGTAGAAACAATCAACACAATGCCTGGCGGTTACACAATACTCAATTACTGTGTGGAATTGTACTGTGCCTGATAAATATATGTACATGTGTGAAAGTACAGCTAGATCTATGCCAGAAATCCCTCCAGCTCGGACAATCTCACCCTACTAAGGGTGTTATGAAGGCTCTACAAGGTTTCTCAGTATTTGTAAGTATTAGTTTCTTATAAAACTGCATTACAATGACCAGTTTTTGTGTGCAGTCTCCCTACCGGAGTGTAGTCTAGCTACTTGAAGAACAGAGGGTGCTATTTCCCAGGTGTAACTCAGTCTCTTGACAAGTAGATGGGGCACTTATGGGACCAAGTTTGCTTCCCATCTCGGGGCAGAGAGCCACAATTCGGCCTTGCTTGTGGCCCTTAATCTCTTGCTCTTTGTGAGCGTCTCTGATTGTGACCATATCGGTTCCCTCTGGCTCCCAACTCTTAAAACCTGGTATCTCTTTCCTGTGAGATCCTTCAAGGCTCGCCTCTCTATCGAGGCCTCAAGATCGTTTTCCACAATATAGGAACAATGATGATATCCCCAGAGACTGAGGAGTTTCCCCGACCCGGGACCTTCACTGCTAAAACCGTGACAATCCGGGACAAGCCTATCCGGGCCCTTTACCTCTGTGCATGGACACGCCGGGAGGGTGAGAAGTCAACGAACTGTCTGGCTCAGAGAGTCCAAGGAAGCGGTCCAAGGCTGAGCTCTGCCCATAACGGCGAGAGGCAGAGGCTAGGCGGGGACCAGAGAAAGCGGAGCCCGCGAAACAGGACACGCACCTCCGCTGACAGTCAAAGAGCGAGGAGAGCCGGGCCCCCCACTCCCTCACGGCATCTGGGCCCAACTGCCGGACCCCTAACACCGCCCCAAGGAGCGCAGCCGCGCGCCGGCTGGGGGCAGCCATTACAGCCGCAAGGCACTCCGGGAACTGACCAGGAACTCACCTACGATTGGATAGAGCGGTAGAAAAGCGAGCGAGCAGGAGAAAGCTAGATTGGCCCAGAGTGCGGAGATACACGGGATGTTGGAGGT